CGTCGGATCTAAGATCAAACGGTGAGTGGCTTTCTCGATCAAAATTGGACGGCTGGATGGTAGGGGAAGCATAGATCTTCTATGCTGTAGGGGAAGTATAGAAACCTTTCCCAAGTTTTTAACTAATATTTTGGGCATTAAAATAATTTCTCATGTTTAATGCTTCATGGATAAAAATCCAAACGCAAACGTGTCCAGAAAATGTTTTTTTCTCGATAAATCAGAATTCCTCATTTTTTGTCATTAACAATGCTTTCTAGAATTTTTTTACAACAAATTTTTCTTTTTTAACCAAAATTGGGAACAAGAAATTTTAGGTTAAAAATTTGTTTTGTTTTGTTTCTTTTCCTTTTATTATGTGTAGGGTTCTAGTTGATCTACCTTTCTACAAGTCTACTGAAAGTATGTCGCAGATATAGAAGATGCCGCCTGGAAGTATGGCGCTAAGGTACATCCAAATAAGAAAGATCTCTTATTAGAGAGGTGAGTAGCAATATCAACCGCGTTAAACATCACCTAGCAAGGATGCTTAGCAATGTTGCACCATGTTGATTCGTGCTATAGAGTGTGAGGGAAAAGTTGACCGTAGCTATTAAGGCTAAGACCAAGAAAAAGATTGCAGGAGATTTGCAACCAGTTCTACCAAGCTAGTATGGGGGAGGGAGGGGAGAGGGAGTGAGAAAAATGACCATTAAGAGCAGTTTCAATAAGATAATAAGGGAGTGTGTGATGGAGACGACTGCTTAATGTTTTTATGATCCTAACATCCCTTCCAATGCAACCAACAGCAACTTCTATGCACACACGAGAAGTGGTTGGCGGAAGTGGAAAGAGGCTCCTAGAAGAAGAGATGAGCCCTATCGAAAAGGAAGGAGATGATGGTGGGAATCAAAAGGCACATGTTACAGATGGTGACCAAGTTGGATGGGTATAAGTTGAAGAGCAAGGGGGGAAGTGAATGAGGAGATGAGAACAATGATGAGACCATCGATATAGATGATGGTGACACAAGGACGCCTAAATCAAGCACAAGCAGCAGGGTAGGGGTGAGCATGAGGGGCAGACTAACCTTGGCAACTTTGTGTTAGAGAGATCTACTTAAGTTACCCAACCGAGAGACTCATTCCATTAGAGAGAGTTACTTAAGTTACCCAACCGAGAGACTCATTCCTAAACTATTTTTTGCTACATTAGCAGGGAGGGCTTTGTGTGAAAAACCCACCACTTGTACTTGTATTAAGAAATATAATAGCAAGGAGTTAATCCTTATGTAATATCAATTTAAAAAATGTCCGCTATAAGCTTTCCTCTATCCCTCTATTTACATAGTGACCTCACTAACATTTGCTCTGTCCCACTCAAAGTCAACTTGGGGTTTGTAGTTCCCATTTTCTATATATGATGCTTTCTCTTGCATTTCTTAGGGGGTTTATCTTTTCTCCCAAGATGCTATTTCAAATTTTTCATGTCATCTCCCTTAGTATCACTTGAATGGTATGACGGTGGTCTTCATTTCCTGACCAGTTTCTTTCTTTCCATATGGCCCAAATTAGCGTGAGGAGAGGCATTCCAAAGCTTTCTTAAGAATTTACTTGAACTTCCTTTGAAACCAATTTATAAGGATGTTTGAGCCTGCTTTGGCTCTGGTATTGAATCTCCAAAGGAACAGAAGAGGTCATGGTGGTCTTCAATCTCAGCATTACATAAGAAGCAATCTATTGAAACCAAGGCAACCACAATTTTACACTCTATCGACAGTTGGTTTCCTCTTCTAATTAGCTATCCAAGTAGCAAGGATTACAATGATCGAACTGACAATGCTGACTTTGTGCTTCCCTGTCATTCATTTTAGCTTTAGATTGTGTAATTTGACTTGTATAGTTGTAAATCTGAAAGTTGGATGATCATGTGGAACTCTCTATTGTCATGTACTCTATTTTGAACTATTGAATGAATGTCTGGCACTTTGGCAGATAGAACCTTAGCATTTACAAGTTTATATTTCTTTCATCAATTTACATAACATTTTTAAGGAATTTTTTTCAGATTTGTTTGCAATTTTTTTGTTGTTCTTTGGGATCTTTTTTTATGTCATTTGAACCGAAATCAACCAGACTTACTAAGCCAATTTGGCTTGGCTTGGCCCATGACTAAGTCCTAAGCTGATTCTGGTCTTCTAGGCATTGTAATCTTCTATATCCAATGCAAAACATCTTTTAAAAGTGTTTCCATATAACTGTTTTGCTCTCTTTTTCCTACCTAGGTTCTCAAAGCCCCTGGACTTTTTCAAAATTGTGGCATCAACTTCATCTACAAAATAGGAAATGCACTAGCATAAGTTTAAGCCGTACATCACATGAAATAATGCTATAATATATAGTAGAGGTTGGTGATAACCTTGTTTACAAAATACAAATGCAACATATAAATTTGTCAAAAAATATTCAGGTCGATTTAGAACAGCTCCAGTTAATAGGGGCAATTTGGTTCAAGTGGAAGACTCTAAACGGCCAAGGGAAGTCCCAAAGGACATACATGGAAGTAATGCAAAGAGATATCGTGGCCTATGGTCTGACTAAGGGTATTGCCCGTGATAAAACGGAATGGCGGAACAAGATTCGTTTAGCCAACCCCAAGTAGTTGGGATAAGGCTTGGATGATGATGATGATGATGCAGAGTCCATCCTAAACAATTGCAAACATCAGTATATACTAGCATGTGAATCAGAATAGATCAATGTTTTTTCCTATTTTGGCAAGCAATCAAATAATTGAAACAAAAAAGGATAACCACAAACTATAAGAGGAAGATTGACTCACAATAATGAACATCCACGTCGAGGCTTTTTCTTTTTTTCCTTTTGCTTAGGTGGCTGAATGACGACTTTGATTGCAGCATCAAAAACTGACTTAACATTCTGCAGACACAACAAGGCCTTGAAATAAGAAGAGCAACAACTATTACTGACTAACACACACAAGACGGAGTAAAGGAAAAGTTTGGTAAATATGGGGAGATTTAGATTCTAATCGTGGCTCAGCAGACGCATGAGACAAGCAAACTCGAAAGTTAAGACTCAAACTGGGTAAGTATTCTCCACTTCAACGAAAGAAGCAAAAATCCAAAGAAATACGCTAAAAGAAGTGGGAAGTTAAGAAACAACATAACAGTAAAAATATATTGTTTAGGGCTAGAATATCTACAAGAGTTGGAAGAAATAGCAAAGGCGACCACTCATATCCTTCAAATATGGTTAATGTCCAAGAAACAGAAAAAACTCGATTCCTGGCCAACCGAAATAATAGCGTCAAACTCACCCAGTCTTTGGAGACGGGGGAATTCCAACATGAAACTCAGGTGACAATATATGGGACTACGGCAAGCCTTTCGCATTTGTGTTTCTTTCGACTCTCACAAGTATTGAGTCCCCAAGATATGTTCTTAAACATGGATATAAGTATATAAACATAAATAACCCTGACGTTGTAAACAAATGTTTGCCTTTATTCCTTGCCTGTTGGGTTTTTGAGCTGCATTCTATATAATATGCTACACCAATCTGTTTCCTTAATTCCTCACCCTGATGCCAAAACAAACAAAATATGCCCTTGTCAAATGTATGATATTTTCCAAATAACACTACAATCAAACTTGGTGCGCATAAATTCAATTCAAAAAGGAAATACCATACTTGGGCCGTGGTCACCGGTACCATGCCTGGATGATCAGACAAATAGTATTTATCTTCTCGAAGATCTACAGTCAAATATTACACAAAACTCTCAGAGCTCAGAAGTTGTGGAAATGAAAAGCAAGATACGTGACATGCTTGTGACGTTCATATCCAAAGAACCGTTTGGTCAAAGTTATACTCATCATTTGAAAAGAGTAAACCAAGGGCTAACAAAAGTTATAGCTAAAACAAAAAAAAGTTAAAGAAGCTCATTTTTCCCTGGTAAACAACATAATGTGTATGGTATACATACAGGTGTATAAGCAACATTTTCAGTAACCCATGGTGCAGGCAAACATGCAACATGGCATAACAGGTTTATAATGTCTATGTTTCAATTATGAAGTTCCAGACCAATTTTCAAATTCATGATAATTAAAAATTGCAGATTATGTAGATGCCATTATAGTTATGTAAAGGACCAAAAACTTAACAAGCATATTTAATGATAGGCATGTCATTAAATTACATCCTCAATGACTATGCCATTACAAACTCAGCGTATAAGCCAACGCCCCCTCTCCATTAGTGCAGAAAAATCTTCCAGTAACCACTACAAACTTAATGAAGGCATCCACTATCTTCAATGAAACTTATGTTTCATTGAAGACATCCCCTTGGTGAGGACATCTACCATCTTCCAACTGAATATAGGAACTTATATGAGGCAAAAATGCAACATCAGCCATGAAATAACACCTAATAAAGCATCAATATGTTGCTTGTTTCATCTGCAATCAGAGCATTGTTGTCTCCAAACAGGGAGTGGGAGATGATGACATCAAACTCAGAAAACAAAAGCTGTAAACAAAGGATCTAACTGCAGGCAGTAGTTATGTCACTTAACCAGGATTCAATACAAAACCAAAGAACTGGCAAGTTTCGTATTCATCGGGAGTAATGGTAAATTTCAATTACGTAAAATTTAACAAAAGAGAAATAAAAAGAACACAGAATATCATTGTCAACAAGTTCCATCATTTGGGTTTTCTATTGCCATAGTCAAGAACAAAGAAACACAACTTTGTAGCACATTTTCCAAAGATTATGGGAAGCTATGAGAATAAACAATATGTTCAAGAAAAACCAAAAAAAAAGAAGCAACTTGACGTAATCTGAACTCTTACTGTTAATTTAAAAATAAATAAAAAATTTGTACCCCATAACTTTGTTTTTTTTTTTGGCCAAATCCCATAATGGATTCCAATATGATTACTTTTCCTTTTAAAGAGCCCATGTTGTCTCATTTTGTTATAATGAAAATGTAATCAAACTCAATTTCACTAATTTCATCCTTGTTTCAAAGATGGGTGATTACTATGCAACAATAAAAAGAAATCAATTAAAGCATTGCCTCATTAGAACAAATAAAGGGTCTTATTGTAGAAAAACAAAGATATGGATCATTGACTATCCCAAATAATCTGCATAGAAATATCTTCCCCATAAGGCTTTTGAATTAGTCTCTCTCTTGGATTTCAAATCTAGAACCAATCACCTAAAGTGAACATCAAATTTCTTTTTATCAAAAAATTTCCAGTACATGTAAGGTTAATCAAGAGTATCTCAAAAATACAGTGTCTGATATGTTAATGTTTCCACAATTAAATGGACTGGAGCAAATCTAAATTACAAAGTCAATACTGAAGATCCATCAGTGGTGCAGAACGAATGTAATAGAATCGACTACTGGCAAGGTTGAGAATATTCAATAAGCTGTTTAATCAGCCATACAATTAATGGCATCATAATTAAAATAACCATGAGGGAAACTTAGAAGAATAGCTATCCACATAAAGTAACTGGAGTGGATGGACCAAAGACCTGAATCAGGGTATAGGCGTGTTTGGCCCTTAGCAAAGCTCAATCCGGATATTGATCAATCAGTGGATAGGCTAGATTTGAAAGCCCGTGGTAGCGGATATATCAATCACAGCAAGTGCAACTGTGAGAGGGAAACAATATCCACCATTAACTCCTTATAGTAGCAATAAAACACCAAAGGGATGACTAGTGTCTGCCACATCCATGGCCATGAGTAATCTAGGGAGAAACTCGTGGGGTTTCACTTGAAATAATTGGAGATACCAACAAGGTCGGTCTAGTCTCATAGTCTCCAAGAAAGCCACTCTAAAGATGGCAACATGTACAACGATGAAATTCTTTCGAAAGAAAATTATGTCCTGAATCTCATCAGTAGCTTATATCTGAATATAATCATCTGATTTCATTTATGAATAAACATAAAAATCATTAGTACCCACTCAAATATTGCATAACAATATTCTTAGACCAAGTTCTATGTTTGTTTTACCATACATATCGAATGAAACAAATTCCAACACCTTCAGAAAACATGAATATCTATGTACCAACTGAATTTATCTGAACGATAAGCCGATCTAATATCCCACTTCTCTTTTATTGTTTCATACTTGGGAAGTTTCCTAACAACTATTGGTTTAATCATTCTCAGATTTCAGGATACCAACACAGAAATGTTGAATTATCATGTCCCTGTTTTCGGGAAAAAAACATCATTTCCTCGGAGGTATTTATTTATCAGACCCTGTATCCACAAAGTATACATTCAAGTATTCAACAATTAATGATTAGAAAATACCAGGAATATAATCATTTAGAAATTAGGAAGACATTTCCAACCACAAAACCTTCACAACTCAAGGTTTCTTCGATGGATCTTCATGAAAAGTGGATCATAAACTGTATGTGTTATTACCTTCTTGCAATAACAATTCAAAGCGCTTGTTTTGTCCCACACATGAAGAAGGCCAAGTGACAAACAGTTTCTTCAAAATATTGTTCGGAACCTAATCTTCTGAACATAAATAAATATTTTGTATAGACTTACTTCTGCACAACTTTGGATCCACTTCTCCTCAAATCACGATTCTGGAACCCAAAAAAGTACTGGTAACGACAAATGTTCATAATTAATTGCTGACATTATTACCATTTCAGATACTCAGTCATACACGAATCTTTCCTCATTTTCAATCATATGCTTTTTTTCATGATCTTCAATCTTATGGCTAAACTTTTTCCTGAACTTCAGCACCCAACTGAAGCTCTCATTCAATCAGAAAGCTCAAGAGCCTTTTTCCTTTCTCCGAGACTTTGCAAATTCTGGCACAAAACTTTGGTCCATTACTTATTAAGAAAGAAAGGCAATTGTTGCATTAATTCCCAACATTACAGCTCAAATATCTTTAATTGGAACTGTAAAAAGATTCCTAGGATGAGGCTGTGGAATAAAGAAAAGAATAAAAAAAATATGTCAAAAAGAGCATCAAAAGAGATGATGATCCACACAATTTTGCTGACAAGAAGTCTAGGTGGGCCGCGGCAACTTCAGAATGAAAAGTTGTTGGATCCTTAAACAGGAAATCCAAAAGGAGCTATAATTTATGCTAAGCAATAAAAAGAAGCCATAATAGAGAAGAAAAGAAAGGCTTAAGTCAGAAAAATGTAATGCCTATCAATTTACAGAAATTCCAATGATTAACGATAAATTGTCATATTAGATATCTTCCCCTGGGCCATACAAAGAACCCACAATATAGAGACAACATATGAACAACAGCAATAGAATCAATTCAAATCTTGTAAGATTCAAAGAAACATGTTCACAAGCTCTTTCGCACTTTATGCTCCAAAAGACTCAAAATGCAAAGGTTTCAGGAAAATATCCCACAAAAACCTGACAGGTCATTGGGGATTAATAACCACAAAAAATGCAAAGCAATGTATTATCTTTCTTCGAACGAGTACCAAGTGATCCAAAGTACCGTAAATCGGATTTACTTTGTTAAAACTTCCAAAAGATTCCTTCCAAAGAAATGATCTTTAGGAATTTCAAATATTTGAAATACAACCTATGAACCTACTTTGTGCAACCAGGTGCTAGCCTTTGAGATCATCACCAAAACCAAATTTCAGTATGCACAATCAGGCTTGAAAAAGATCACCTTTGACCAACAATGGCTACTTTTTGACATGAAGAAGACCCCAATCTGCAGAAATATTACATCTGTGCATTCACAAGCTCTGTTACCATGTGAAACTACCCAAGCATACAACAATAGCCTGATTAATGACATTGTATTTGATCGATTTCTGTGATGGATTATTAGGTTGCATTTTCTTTTCTTTTTTTGGGGGGGGAGGAGGGGGGGTGTGCGTGTGCGTGTAAGGTTGTATCTCATTGACAATAAATCTCAGTACAAATAGACATAGTATACATGTGCAATTCCTTTATAAGTATAAAATTTGTGAAGTTCATTGGCAGTTATTCATAAATAAATATGGAAAACACCTCTAATGAAGTAAATAAAAGCTAAAAGAGGCCTCCAGCAATTTCATCAGTAAGAACAACTTACACAAAAAACCATTCACTTGGGTCCATCAGATCCCAAGCTTGGCCACCATTAATTAACTTAAGAGTGATAAAAACCCAACACTTGACCAAGATATGTTTGAGGTTTCCACTTGAAAAAAAAAAAACAAACAAAGAAGAAAGAAAACAGAATGCACCAAAACACATTGGAACAGCAGGCATATATAAAAGAGATCCACAATGCAACAGATCATTGTTCACATGTTCTGTGTGAGAAATTGTAGGATCAGATTTCAGTACATAGAAGAAAGAAGGTTATCATGAAGTATAATCTAAGCAGTTATTTTTCAGAATTTGAATCCCAATTGAAACCCAATTATCATGAGGATATTCTCATTAGTTACCTTGAAAATATAAATCACGGTCCTCAATTATAAAATGGCTTTTTACTACTTACCCAATTTGGTGCCAACAAGAACAACAGGGACACCAGGTGCATAATGTTGAAGTTCAGGAATCCACTGAAAAGGGCAAAGTAGCAAGAGAAAACAGCATCAGATGATCTGAGAAAGAATATATAAGGGGAAAAAGCACCATAGCTAAAACCCAGAAAGAATAAAAGCACAACCTTCTTCATAACATTCTCATAACTAGCTCGGCTGACTAAAGAGAAAGCCACCACAAACACATCTGCTCCTCTGTAGCTCAAAGGCCTCAGCCTATTGTAATCTTCTTGCCCTGCCAAAAGAAAGAAAACAACTTGAAATCTGCTAAATCGGGCAAAATTGCACGAGAAAGAAAGTGACAAATCAGTGACGCGCCTAGTTAGGAACAATTGATTGGGGAATAAAACCAAGCTAAAAACACAAAACACAAAGTAATTGATTGAAATACCCATTGGGATGAACCCCAAGGTTGGGCCGAAGAGAACATATAAGTAACAACTAGCAAATGTTACAAATCAGCAAAGCTTGTAGAAAATAGAAATGTGATTGGAAAATTAAAACCAGTGAATCATAAAGCAGAAAACCAAATAAAGTAAAGTTATCAATAAAGCCCCAATTTCGATGAACATCCAACTTCGGTTAAAGAGATTAAAAACAAGAATAATAAAGATTTTTTTTATCATAATTTCATAGAGAAAAGCTGAGTTTCAGCTTACTAAGAGAATTACCAGCTGTATCCCAGAGGCCCAGGTTCACAGTGGTTCCATCCACAACCACATTAGCGCTAAAGTTATCAAACACCGTGGGTATATAGTCCTGAAAGCAAAAGACATGATATTGTTGGGGAGAGAGAGAGAAAGAGAGAGAGAGAGAGAGAGAGAGAGAGAGAGAGAGAGAGAGAGAGAGAACCGAACCGTGAGTATATAGTCCTGATGGAATGACAAAGCATAATACAGAGAGAGAGAGAGAGAGAGAGGGAGAGAGGAGCACAAGTAAACAAAATTAAGAGAGAACAAAAAAGCGAAAGGGCAACCCCAAAAGGACTCAGCACTAAACTTTCAGAACCCCGCACGTCTCTGAAACCACAAAAAACCAGTAACTTCGAATTCTCTCTCACATTGAAAAAACACAAAAAGAAAGAAACAATTCATGGAGTTTAGGAGAGAGAGAGCTCACAGTTGGGAACTTGTTACTGGTGTAGCAGATGAGCATACAGGTCTTCCCAACTGCTCCATCCCCAACAGTGACGCACTTTATGAACCTCGAAGCACTCGAAGCCATGAAATTCCTCGTAGCTCAACACAAACTCAAAAAACAAATAAAGCAAGGAAATGATACTATTTGTTCTCAGACAGGTGGGTGATGAAACTCCTCACCCATGATTCTAATTGGTATTGGACCAGCTCAGAGAAAACTGCCAATCTGGCCGAGGTGGGTTTTGATTGCAGAGCTAGAGAGAGAGACTAAATGTGGGGTTGCAACCCACCGCAGAGTAAATGCGTTTTTGCAGGAGAGAGAATGAAGAGTAAATGGAGTTCACTTTTTGAATCAGTTCTTTGGGAGACACAGGGAGAAGAAAGTGTAGAGAGAGAAAGAGATAAGAGAGAGAGAGAGAGAGAGAGAGAGAGAGAAGAAAGAGGAGGAAACGAGTGCGAAAGATTAGCAAACGACGATGCCGTGAACAACGATAGAGGAGAGAGAGAGAAGGAACTTGAGAATGTAGAGAGAGAGAGAACTTGAGAATGTAGAGAGAGAAGGAAACAAAGGGAAGAGATCGTGACTTAAATTTGAACAGGGGGAGGGGATTTCAGTGAATTTGAATGGCAGTGGAATGGAAAAGGAGAAAAAAGGTGAAAATTTTGATGAGAGAGAAAAGGTGGAGTGAACTTGGACAGAGAGAGAGAGAGGGAAATAGGATTACAAATTAAAGCAAGCGTTGTGTGTGAAATACTCAAGTTAGTGTAGAGAGAGATTAAAAAAAAGAAAGAGTTTATATAAAGATGCTACTTTATAATGTAGAACTATATATGCCCTTTGAAAACATTTTGGTTAATTAAGTTTAAAAAATAGTGCATTTTACAACATATTATCTATCTCGTTTATTTTTAAGATTTTCATATGTTTATAGATTTATTTAATTTTAATTATTTTTAAAATTTTATAATTAAATATAAAAATAAATTTTAAAATAATCTTAAAAATATTTTACATCAAAATTCTATACCATGATAAAATTTGAAAGTGCACCTTACCTCTACACCTACATATGTATCCGTATGCCAACTGTACCCCTAAAACAGGTGTAGTGTTAGAGATTTTATAATAAAAAAAAAAAAGTGTAGAGAGAGAGGAGAGACCTTTTTAAAAAGCTTTGCTTGGGTCTGCCCTACTTTATATCTTAGGTATTGAAAGCAGAGATGGGCATAAAGGGCAAGCAGCATTCCTTCTCTTTTTCCACCTTTACTTATTAATAATCTCTCTCTCTCTCTCTCTCTCTCTCTCTCTAGATGGTAAAGGACAGGTGCAAGTTGGGTGCAACTAAGTCAAATGGCTTGGACGATTGCCCTATGATACAAGGTACTTCGCTTACTCTACCTAGCCCAAGCCCCTTTTTCTTTTTTTTCTTTTTTTTTAATTATTATTATTATTATTATTTTTTAGACAAAGTTGTATAGGAATGGAACTTTAGATGTTTTGTTATGAAAACTTAACCTCTACGGTCTTGACTCAAGCTGGATTCCTCATAATCAAGTTATGACATTGATAAATCTTACATGGCTCACTCTAAACTCTCTACCAAAAAACCCTGACTATGCAGGTCGATGACAATATGAAACATTGATAAAAAATCAATTACAAATGTGACCAAAACAAGATGTAAAACATATTGAAAAGAACAGGGATTGTATATTATAAGACTACTTATTTTTTAGTCCAATAAGGGCGCAATCATTTTTAGTTATTGGATATGAAATTCTAATGTTCTGAAGTATTTTATAACATTCGAGAAATTCAATAGAATATCCCCAACCACCTAATTTCATGTCTAACAGTCAATTGTGATAGTGGCCTCTTTATAGCAAAAGTAAATGGTCTTATTGTATATATTTTCAAAAGAAAAATATAGGGTATCAAGATTTGTGATGCTTGTAATATATAAGTTTACATCTATGCACACGGGAAGATATATTCTCAAAAAAGATATATCGTTAAGTTGAAAGGCAATTACATTTCATTCAACCTTCGTCAGCCTGAAACATTATTTGATCAATCTCATTCCTCACTGAAGATATGACCATGATTCATGTAGTCAATCCCAATTAATTACAAAAATATTAAAATAATAATGATTTTTTTGTTTATTGACTTGTGGACTTGTATTGTTGGACATGTTAAAATGGGGAGAGAAGCTAAATTAAGGTTCAACAACTTTACACTAGAGTACGTCTCACTTTTCTTTTTATTTTCATTGATCTACTATTAAAAGGCTTTGATTGATTTGAATCTTGAAATTAAAGTTTTGAGCTTAAGAGCTTTATAAAGGTACCAAACATTTGCTTTCTTCAGTCGCAATGGGACACTATCCGGAATGGTAAAAGCCAAAAGATTATATACTCTAGCACCACTATATCATATATTTCACTCCCTCACCCACAATGTTACTCAAGAGTATTTTTAGGACTCTAAATTTTTTGGATATTACTTCTTCAACATAGCTACCAACCTTTTAAAAAAAGACAAAATATCTTTGTAGTTTATAGGTTTTATTTCTCTAAAAATAGGGTAAAAATTGGTAGAGTTGGTTCAAGGAGTTAAAAGATATAATTGATAGAATCTCTATGTCCAAGATAGGTTTTGATACTTTGGGTCTACGAAAAAATGAAACTTAAAGATATGGTCTATGGAGATATTTTCTCAAAAACAAACACCCAGGTGACATACATGCACATGAGAAAACAAAGTTTAAAGACGGTCTTACATTTAGATTTAAGTGTTTTTATATATATATATATATATATATTTGATGAAAATACCCATCGGGCAATTCTAAGGTGCATTTCTAAATTTTCGATTGTAAAAATCTTCCAAATAAGTCTTTTACTCAAGGCAGTAATTATAGACATGACAGTTTCCCAAAAGAAAAGAGCGTAAATATAGGGCATGTTTAAATGATAATTAATTTTTTATGAAGTACACTATCTTATTTAAAATTAATTTATCCTGGATACGATTATCGTATTAGCAGTTTGGTATGTAGTATTATATACAATATAATTCAATTATTTAACTTTTCTAGTAAGTTCCAACATTTGTTAGCTATTTATAGCCAAAAACTATTTTTCAAAATGATAAGGGTGTGGTTTCTATAAGGTTGTAACCTTAAACAATCCAATTAAGGCGGACCTTAAAATTTTATCATAACATTTAATTTAGTTGTAAAAAATTCTTAATATTATCTTAAAATCTATTTTCATACCTAATTAAAAAAAATTAAATTTAAATAATAGTTAAAATTAAGTAGATCTAAAAATATATGAAAATCTTGAAAATGGACGGTCTAGATAATGTGTTGCAAGATGCACTATTTTCGAGACTCATTTTTTTTTTTTTTCATATTCATACACCTCGATATCGAGATGATCGATTAGAGTGTTTTTTCAACATTAAAACAACATTTTTGATAGATTTTTGAGGTACATCTATGATTCTACATTTCAATGTTGCAACCTTATATAAAGTTTTCCCAAATGATAATCCTATCTAAAACTGTCTATTAAGTGTATCTCATATAACTTTATCAAAGACACTGCCAAACAATAGATAATTCGTTATCAAGGCTAATTTTATTAAAATATTGAATTATCAGTGATAACCAATTTAATTGAAAAATAATAATAAAATGTTGATGGCAATAACCACTACATCCAAAACATACCCATAGCGTGTGTCTTAAGGAGCACGCTATACTTCGTCAATGTAAAATATGGATGTCAAAGATGGGCAAATCATTTTTGTTGGTTTGCACTGGAGTTGGACCACCACGTTAGAGATGAGACAAAGAGCTCTATGCTACCAACTGACAAAGGCATCACACCTACTCTCAGTCGCGCTTTGCTATATTTTCTTCTATAAATTAGAGCAATGATTTCATGGAACCGTTGTATAATAATATGATGTAATAATCTTAAAAAATAATCTTATGGGCATTTGTTTGATTCAAAATTTGAAATTAACACTCTTTGAATTTATTTTTTTTTTGGATTGTGATTATTTAAAATTGCATCTTTTGATAAAGTTTGGATGTGCGCCTTACTTTGATTGTTTCATGTTGTAACTTTATGCAAACCTCACCCTATTGGAAAATATCTGAGATGCTTCTATATGAAAAAAGTTTATGTGAGGTTGAGGCTCTAAAGTTGTTTTGATGTTGAAAAACTTTCAAATTGATCATCTTGATCTCAATATATATACATGAAAAAACAATAAATTGCAAGTCTACGAAATAGTGCATCTTGTAATGCATTAACTGGGCTGTCAATATTCAATATTTGCAAGTATTTACAGATATGCTAGATCTATGCTATTTTTTAAAACTTGAAATTTTATAATTAGAGATGAAAATAAATTTTCAAGGCATCATAAAGATTTTTACTACTGAAAGATCATATTTGACACTATTTAGAGGTACGCCTTACTTGATTGTTTAGGACATCAATCTTATACATACTACACCCTTTTTATATTTTTAAATATTAATAATAGAAATAAAATTCTAGAAATCATCTGGCATTCTACTCCCAATGTGAGACATTTATCACATGCATATTTGTTCTAAATCTGTTTGTTGCCTCAATCCGAATGAGGAGTAGAATGCAAGATATGTGAGAAAATGGCAAAATGCACCGACCATACCAAATGAAGAAATATGTGGTTTTTGATATCAATGGGTGAGTGGACATAGAGTGATTGGCCTTACTAATGATGTTAGCTGAGCCTCCATGGCCACCTCGCATTCCAGTTGATGGAACTCTAACAAGCTTTATTAGTTGGCAAATCATGAGGGGAAGTGATTTAGATTCATGGGGATTCATGCGAGGGCATAGTGATCTTGATGTGATTGGCATATTTGGACTAGTAATCGATTCCTTCCAATGATTCAAAACTCTTATTTGGATCGGGAATCGTCAATTCCGATAAAAAATAGGTGGGAACCGACCGGGGCCTAGGAATTGGGCTAGGTCATACACAATCGTTTGGTTCCCTCGGGAACCAATTGATTATGTCAGGGATCCGGCTATTAGGATCACTCCGTTTCCCAGATTTATAACTCTTTATTATTTTTTCTATTTTTGTTTTTCTATATTTCTATTTTAATTGACCGATTCTCACCGAGAAGAATCAATTGGATCGCCAAACTAGTTTTCTGAATGGTCGATTCATCCAGCCGATCTAATTTAAAATACTGGTTCCTACTATGACAAGATCTTACCATTATATGGGTCGATACATGCAGGTGTACAGTGGTAGGTTCCATACGGTGGCTAAGAGTGGCTTGGTTCGTGCAAATGATAGTCTGGATGCCTTACATGCATCTAGGTCACCATGATACTAAAAGGTCAGGATTGCATAGGGCCGTGATTTTCTTAAAGCCACTACATAAAAAAAAAAATATGAAG